TGTAATTATTATTAGAGAGTCTCTGTATTTTAATATTGTAATTACTATTAGAGAACCTCTGTATTTTAATATTGTAATTACTATTAGAGTGCCTCTGTATTTTAATATTGCAATTACTATTAGAGAGACAGATATTATAATACTGTAATTACTATTAGAGAGCCTCTGTATTTTAATATTGTAATTACTATTAGAAAGCCTATGTATCTTAATATTGTAATTACTGTTAAAGAGCCTCTGTATTTTTCACAATAAATACAAATACAATAAAAAATACAATGGTTCTAATGATACTATGTGCTAGGTCACTTTGCTAAAAGAAATGGTGCAATATCTTATATAATACAACCAAACTAATAAAATAGACAGTATTTACCTTACTTCTCTTCAAACATATTATGCTTTGTCATGATCTGTACCCTCACCTGAGAGACTTCATACAAAGCTGTTGTTAACAGCTGGCCTCAGGTTACAACAGCAGGAATTTTTTTTATACATGAAACCAATTGTCAAAGCAATTCCAGTAACTTACAAGGAAAAAATCTCACAGAGTCATGAGACACAGTAAGTAAATTTCCAAAATTTAAAATACACATTAAAAAGGGATCTCTATTGCAAACATATCATGAGAAAAAAATTAATCCCAGATTTTAAATGATATATTTACAATTTTATTAGCTTCAGAAAATTCAAAATTGTAAAACAAAACATACAGAAAGTTGAATTTTACAGTTTTTGATAACCAAAAATTCAAACATTTTGAGCTTAAAATATGGAACTTGAACAAACTTTACAGTTTTCTGGCTGTGTTTTAGTTTCATAGTTTATATGTTATAATTTTCCAGGGCTTTACTTCTGTACCACTGTACTTTGTAATTCATCAAATTTGTCTTAACGGATTATTTTAATGGTTTGATTTTTCTTTGTGGTACATTTTCTAATCTCATGATTTTATAATTGAAAAACAAAGGCTTTGCTTCTGTTCTGTGGTATGTTTTTAATTTTGTAACTTGTATTGATTATAAATTAGTTTTGCTTTAATTTCATAACTTGTTATTGTATTTTTGTCACATTTCTTTAACAATGATTTTACTAAAATTGTAAAATGTTCTCTACTCATCTGTTTGTTGTACACGTGAGTATATTCATTAGACATGCGAGTCTTATTTTATTAGTCATTATGTTGTGCCATTGCAGTTTTACTGAAGGGTGTCATTTTCATGCAATTCCACTGGATCATATTTTAACTATGTAATTGGTTTTAAATTTAATGTCAGTTTAAGCACAAGCCTGATACAAGGGGGAAGAAGGTTTTAGTATGCATATATTTCCATAGTATATATAGTATATATTTCTTAATTGCAAAATTCTGAAATACCTCTAAGTTCTGATACTGGAGCACTAAATCTGGTATAGGTACAGTTGTTACTTTTATTAGCTTAGTCTGTCAAATAATTTATCTAATATTTCTTGGGATAGTTGTATTGTATCCTTCTTGACCTTGTGCTTGGGGGATAACTTGTAGTTATTACAAGGAGTAGAGATATTTCTGCATCCTGGTGTCATTTTCAGATTGGTCAGCTGTAAGGATAATGTGTATCATGAATGCAGTTTTGTCACTTTTAGTTTTGACCCTAAAGGATAAGACGTGTTGTAAAGTTTTCATCCTTGTACAACACTCCTTCTTTCTTCAACCTTTCCACAAACCACACATTGAGAATCACTGTACACTAGATAATTAGTTCATCTTGTACATTCTTCCTTCTCTATTTGTTTCAGTAAATAAAATATCTTTGGTTTATTTTTATTCTCAATTCAACATCATATCTTTCTCTTTAATTCCACCTGTCACAAATCACTGAACATCTCCTTCTATTGCACATTAGATCCACAAATCTCTCATCTTTGTGTCAATTAGGTAACTTGTGTGTAGGTGTAACTTTGTGTCACCACTGTATAACTAAAGGATAGTTTTAAAGTATTCAAACAAAGTGATAACATTAAAGAACTTACAAGTCATCAAATGAAGTGATATCTGGCCAATATAGACTCTTCTTTTCTAGTGAACATGGAAGATTATTCTTAAGCAGCAGCTTGATAAGAGCATGCAAATACAGTTGAATATTGGGTTCCAGAAATAAATCATTTCCTGAAAGAAAGATACTAATTATAAATAGTAATAGTCATTTACCAGCCTTTCAATCTTGTGCTTATTTAAACTGCATAAAAGCTACAGCTAACATCTAAAAATAATATTGGCATATCATTTCTTGAGATCTTAAAGATGTCAAGGAAACATGATAATTACTTTAAATAAGCCCTTTAGAAATGTTCATTAACCTTATCAAGTTTAAGATCTCTGACTGAAATGTTCGAAATAATACTTACCTATGTCGATTTTGTCATGCAAGTATACTGCACATGCTTTTTAAATATATATGCTCCTACCATATTACTTAAAACTATGTTCATTGTATAGTTGGTGGACTTATTCACATTTTTTCTCTAATAGGAGTACTGTGATAACGGTATGTTTTATTTATAATAAAAACACCACTGATGATAATGCATACAAGTAACAATGCCTCACATTAGCAGTTTCTGTTTTCCATTCATTACCATGAAACTTTATAATGTCAATGTTAATACTGTTACTTCTTACCAGCAAGAAACACTGCTGCTATATGACAAAACCTTGTAGTCACAGACATGGAGTTCATTATGTCTGATGTCAACAACTCCAGCAGATGACACCACTGTAGACATCTTGATATGGTACCAACAGTTTCTGGGTATGAAGAAGTAGCCTCAGCTCTTGACATTACAAACAAACAAAAAAAAACTCTCAACTCATTTTTTGAAATGGATATCTATATTTATATTCCTAACCACAAAAAATTACACCATAAAAGAAAATGATAATCTCACATGTGAGTATGTGTAAAGAGAAATTATTAAAATTATGGGCCTGTTATGTACTTTTAGAAATCAGTTAAATGGAATACACCAAAACAAGTTTTTTTCCTTGACTGCAAATAAACTGTATTCTCTCTTTTTTATTTCTAATCCCATATTTTAACAACTTGAATGTGAGTGTTTGATTTTTTTACTTTATCTGCTATATTGAATTTTCCTTAATATAAGTAATATTAATTATGTGATAATAATAAAAGAACCAGTTTATGGTTATCTCCAGCTTTCAGACAACAACAGACACAGTGCTGCATATAGCATTGCATTTTGATGTTGTCTATAATGAATAAATAATATTAGCAGACATTCTACCATATATTTTTTTAATAATATGCTATTATTAAGAAGTTACATTCAAGTTTAAAAAAGCCATAGCTGATTACTGCATAAACTTTGAAGACAATACGAATTGTATAATATCACTCGTCTATAAAGATTTCAGAAGGTGAAGATCAGGGACCCATTATACTAATATATATATATATATATATATATATATATATATATATAATACATAGTATTTACAAAACATTTGAATAAGAAATGTTATGCTAAGACACAACAAATACAGTTTTTTGTTGTTTGGATTGAACACTATGTCATTATGAAGTCTGTTAGTATGGATGTAATAATAAGACTTGCCTATAAGTAGAGGAAAGGGATTTGGGGCTAAAAATTAATCAAAAATCCTTGGCTAATATGTGGGTTATTTACAGTATTTAATACAGGTTTTAGCTTATTTGACCAGTCAAATGATCAACATGCTAAATTTGGTTTTATGATCACTAGTTTTAGGAATACTCGGTGCTAAAGTAGTTGAAATCAGATGCATATCAAGCTGAGAAATATGCAGTACCACCTAAAACTTCTTTGATGATATGTAAACTATTAATTTCTATTATTTTAAAAACTTTAAATTCAAGAATTTTATGTTTATACAGTTACAGATAATAAAAAAAAATCCCAATAGTTACTTTCATAAAGAAAAGGTTTGAAAAGTCAAAAAACCATTTCAATTGTTACTACACATTGTGACTATCATCTTTAGGTATTCTAACATTTTTTGATAACTTCATGCACCTACACTAGAGCAACTAAAAAGCAATTAAATTATTTTAGATCCAAACTTGTGACAATGTTACTACTTTAAATGTGGATATATTTATTGTTTGCATCTACTAGTATGAATTGGGGGGCCTTCTACAAAGTTTTACAATAAATTAGAGCAAAACTTAAGTACTTCATAACTAGTAAGTATTATTCTATGAGAGGAAGGAGTGTCTGCATAGCTTAATAGCACTATGCAGTTCAAGTATGAACTACTAAAGAGACTTAGAATTAGAAAAATAAAAAGGTGTAAACAACTGTGAGCCTGATGGCATTTTGAAATGAAAAATGTTTTGTGCATCACACCATTTTCAACTCAAAGTCTTTAACAGTAGTATAATTCATGCCTGTCTATGTACATGTTCTATTCTTGTAACATGATTAACAGGTTAAAATTTTGCAAAAAACATTACACTTAGGAAGATCAAAAACCTTTAATTAACTATTATTCATTTGCAATTATGATTAAGTACTTTTTTCAGACAAATAAGAAACGTTTTTAGTTTAAAAGGGGAATTTTCTATTCCTGGTGCAACTATAATTATATCTGTAAAAGGTTAAAAGTGCACACATAACTGTATTTTTACCTATACAAGAAGCAAAGTAGCAAACTGCTGATTAGTGTTCCAGTCTCACTAATAAAACTTAAATGCCACTAGAAAAAGCTTGCTGGCAGACATTTCAAAATGAGGGTTTGCAGGTTCTTACAGTCAAATATCAATACCTTTATGATACATGCATTTAAAGTCATTTATATTTAAAGATTCTGAATACAGAAGGTTACTAGAATTGTAATTAATGAAAATGCAAGTTTGTAAGCCCATTTCAGTTACATGGTGTATTCAGGCTACATCTACAAGGAAAAAGGGAGAGCGGGACAACGGTTTAACCTAATTTGACTGGTTACTAAGGTTATTAGCACGTGGGCCAACACTAATACCATCACTTCTAAGTTGGTGAGTATGCATGTATTTTAAATTTTACAACAACACAAGTATTTTTTGCCAATGTTATATGACCATGAAATCTTAAATAAAAGGATTATTTTATTTCACAGGTCAGAAATACTGGAGGTAATAATAAATTTTAAATCACATAAAAAACAATTTCCCCTCTTAACTTGTCCATGACCAATACAAACATTCAGCCTATTAGCTTCTAATGTTTAGCCAACTTAACTTTCAGTATTCAAAAACACAGCTTTTAAATGAAAATAATTTCTCTTTTTTTTGTAGGGTGACCATAGGCTTTTATAAATATAGGTGCTTGAGGCCTAGATACAGCAATTTCGACCAAAACTGAGGATCTTTTAATTTTTGTAAAATAATCAAAATAAAAACACTGTTAAATGTAATTAAAATAAATTTTGACATAAAAATGTTTGAAAAGAAAACATGACACAGAAGATTTATACATAAAAATGTGATATATAAATACTTAGTAAAATTTAAAACATGAAATAATTAATCATAACACAGGTACAGTTAATTTTAGAGAAGAAAAATATTTCTAGCAGCAATCTCAAATTTGGTATTGGGAATAAAAATAGCTAGCAACTATTTGCTGGTGCTTTCAAAGTGAAAGTCAAGGTCTGCTATACTTTGTTTTTCTAGATATAACACACACAAGTATCAAAATTTTTTAAGTATACATTTTTGCTTTCCACAACTTCCACAGTTACTGATGCAAGTTAATGAATAAAAAAATCCTCAAGTTGAAAAAAATAAAACACTAGGGAAAATGTCACTGAGAAAAGTTTACAGTAACTTACCCATTTTTATTCTGTTTGTACAGATGAATAACTGGCATCATGGCCCAATATACAGGTAATACTGGAGTTGCACTGCATTCAACAGTTAGGCTATCCAATAAGTGGCTCTTTTGTTCCATCTGCCATCTTTGGAATTAAAGCAATAAGTTTAAAAACAAATATCTATAGTAGAATATTTCTCTAAATTAATATGCAATGGTTTGGACAATTTCCTTTGTCAGCTTTTGCAGGGGATGTTAATACTTCATAAGAAAGAAAAAGTAAGTTCAATAATAAACAATGTAGGAACAAAACTACTCTTTAACAAGAATTTATAAAAATGAAGATTATTGCACAACAAAAAAGTAACATGGATTGAATGTAATGTAATATAAGACATTGATTTGTAGACCAACAATAATGTTTTGTTTCCACAATTAATATATGATTCATTGAATCATACATGTGTGTGCTATAAAAAAACTGAAAAACCTATTGTTCACTGAAGAATGTGTGGCATCTTAAAATTCCACAACTAATATGAGTAAGGTTTAAATTCATTTCTTATGATTTTTTATTTTAGGATAACATATTTTTAAATTGTAAGTGAAACATCCAAACTGTGTAAATAAAACCAAGTAAGTACTTTAAAATGTGCATCCATTTTATTTATGTTATGTAAATACTTTTGGTCTTATGAAAATACAGTACAAAAACTCCATTTATGTCCTGTAGTAAATGTATTTTCTTGTGTTTAGGAAAATCAGGCCTAATATAAAGAACAGCTACTAATGTCATTTTAAATTTCCAGAAAAAAGTTGAATAAAAACATTTCTGATTTCTCATAAGAACAGTTATAAACAACTGTCACCTATTATACAGTAGTGTATAGTCCATCAAACATGCTAAGTGAAATAAATTTTGCAAAATCAAGCTTGACCAACAATGAGGCAGAAAAGTGCAGTTGAGGCAGTCAAACATCAGTAAATTCCTTTGAGAGCCAGTCAAAATTAAGATCATTCATGAAGTGAATTCATACCATATTCATAGAATAATCATTGGTAAAAATCAGTTAGATTACCAACTTGTAATATGTAGAAAAGCCAGCGCATTTTGGTAATACTATGTTCCAACAATGGCTTTTATGTCATGTTGCTTAGCAACAAAAGTATAACCAATTATTGTTGTTAGTCTATGTACTGAAAGTATAAAATGAAATGTATAGACAACAAAACTGAAAATTATTTGTTGATTTCTTAATTTAGTCTCCACTGATTAGAGGTTTGTTTTTTATTCAAAACATTAGTGACATAAAAGAAAATAGCTTAATTCAGAAACGATTATGTTGAAAATTGAATTGATACTTTTACTTTCATGATAAATTCTATGCACTTAGCTCTAGGCTACATGATCCCATACTACGTCTTTAATCTTATTATATCAACACTCACTAAGGTTTCGTGGCACCCCATCCCCCTCACGGCTACCTTGCACCCCATCACTAAAATCATAATGGGCAGACAGTAATGGAAATATTCTATCTGGATAAATTCATCTTGGCTTTTATGACACCTCCTACTTTGAGAAATCAAATATGACATGACATGACACACACTGGCTTTTATATAGGTTAAATACAATATTTACAACACTAAAAATTATGATTATAAACTATTATGAAAATCAAATAACAGTTTTAATAAAAACATTCATTTACTTTTATCTGTGTTAAATTTACCTAGATTTCTCAATGGAAAGAATATTGGCTAAAGTAGCAACGTAAGCACCAGAAACACTAGGTAACTGTTCAAATGTCTCCTGTAGCAGTTTCCAGTCTGATACCTGAATAATGTCCCCTACAGCTGATTTCACTATGGTCCTCTCTCCTAGCTCTATCTGTGATATACCTGATGACAAATCATAGTTTTCCCTAAGGAAAGACATTAAATGTAATACTAGCATATGTAAATGGTAACAATCTTACCAAATGTGACATTTACTTAACGTCAGAGCATGTGACACCAAAAACACAATCACACAGTTATATTATGTCTCAAACTGAGGGCATATCCTTACTCTAAAACACCTGATACTTGAAGTCACAACACACATACACAAAAAACTGTATAAATCAATTTTATCTACTGAATTCAAGAAAAAAAAGTTCTTACTTTTAATGACTTCTCTGAGAAAAAAAAATAAACGTTTCACCAATACACAGTATATGTTTACATGAATATTGATAAAACATGGATATTGATGAAATACAGCTGAACGTTTCACCAATACACAGTATATGTTTACATGGATATTGATGAAATACAGCTGAACGTTTCACCAATACAAAGTATATGTTTAGATGAATATTGATGAAATACAGTTTAACTTTAAATTTGTCACCAACATATAGTTTTTGTTTACATGAATACTGAAGAAACATACACTAAACATTAACACAGCATTTGTTTAGATGGATGCTAATGAAACATAAATTTATCATTAAAACAGTGTTTGTTTATATGGATACTGTTTCTTGTTTCAAAAGATATCATACTGGATGGTAGTATCTTTATAATTTTAGTTATTAGTATTAAATAGCAACTATTATGTTACTTAGAACAGTCAAATTATCAAAAAACAAAACACAATACATTCTTGAAAGACATAATACTATACACAACATCAAAAAGTACACACCAATCCTTTAATAAATTGTATGAAATGAATTAAACAGTATCTAAATGACACTTGTTAAAATATAACTTACAAAAATACATTAGGATGAAAAATTACTCTCTTCAGCAACTCCAACACCATGTATTCATCACCCTGGCTTATTCTTGTTACCAGCACAAGTGCAACCTTGTGATACAGTTTCAGATCTCCACAAGCCTAAAGAAAAACGTTTGTTCAATAAAATACATGTATCAAAATGGTTAATATATGTTTTAGATTTACTTTTCAACTTTACATGAATAACAATGATAAAACCAGAAAACAGAATAGGTATCCAGTATTTCACATTTACTACTATACTTAGACTTTCTATTGATGTCTGCAAATGTCAAATTATGAAAAACAACAATAATCTAATGACAAACAAATTACTAACCTGTTCAATGGCTAATGTCACCAGGTGATAGAGAAGATTAAGTTCCAGTTTTGAAAACCAGTGAACAGTCCATGTTGGCTTTTTAAGCAGGTCCTGTAGGTACTGAACAATGCTGGAGTTACATAGGAGAGCTTCATACACCTTGTCAGAGAAAAGTAATTACATTCAACAAACATGAATTTTTATATCTGTCAAATCCAAATTGACTTGAAACAAATGACCAGGTTCTGCATTTCAAAAGTGAAAGTCTGTGATAACTTAGAATTTGTTTTCATGTAGTAAACTACAAATATATTAAATGGACATGAATTTGCAGCTTTTTCAGATTGTGTATTAACTTTTTATTTTCAAAATTATAACCTAAAATATGTAGTAAGATAAAGCAAAAATGTACATAAAAAAAACCAATGAAAAATGCATAAGTACCAAAGAACAAATAATGCTTGGAGACAGCTTGAATGGGTAATGAAGAAAAACTTTAATACAAGTTTAACATAAGAGCAAATGTACAACATTTCGGGGTTTTGTCATCATCAGGTCCACTCAAGCCATCTCCAACCATTATTAGTCTCAAAGTGGGTTCCTCGTCATCGAATTTGAAAGAATAAATGCATTATTATTTCTGTCAATTGTTTACTTCCACTCCTTATGCAAAAAAAAAAGTATAATTTTGGTGTTTTTATTTGCATGATCTTAGCAAATATCTTAGCTATGCCAAACATAGTCCTATTTGATAGCAAGAGAAACCATACAGTTTAGTCAAATGAGAAGTCAGAAAAAAAGGTTTTTACAATTGTGTTTCTTGTGCTTCAAGTAATAAAATTGGAGATGTGGAGAAAAATGCAAGACTTGAAATAAGCATGCAAGATGTTGAGATAAATTACCTAGCTGTGTTCCTAACAATGGCAATTTAAAACAGCAAGCAGAGATATACTTGATAATTTTTTTATTTGTTTTGCTTTATGCCATTGGTAAAGTATAATTTTAATACACTGAACAAACTAGGTAGTTACCTTTAACCTATTATGACTGATGAGCAGTTCTCCAGCATCAAGTGTACTCTTGCTAATAAAATTTCCAAATGTAGGGGAAAACAGTAATTCTAAATCTATTTCAAAATTTGCTTTATTGACAAATATTTTAGAAATATTTTGTAACGTCATAACATTTATTGTGTAATTCATAAAGAAAATCCTTTTTTGTTATATTTTAACTTTCATCTCGGCACAGCTTTGAGGGGTATCACTTGTAAACAACATTATCATCAATTTTTATGCCCATCCTAAAGTATAGGATTATATTTACTCAGAAACTGTCAACCCTTGGAAACAGACTTATTCATGTTTTGTTTCTTGCATGACTTTCCATTCCTGTCAGTGACCTTATTTTTGCAACCCTGTGTGGCAAGCCTTTTAACATATCCCAGCACATGAGTTAGACAGTAATTAATAGGTAAGATTCTTATCTACATCAAAGTAAAGTAAATAAAGTGGGGAAAGCAGTTATTTATGGTTGCTGAGAAAGTGGCTGGCAATAATTCTTAGAGGGGTGACTAAAGGATTCTATAAATATAAGGTTTATAAAACTTAGAAACAAACAAGGGAATGTTTTTATAGTTTGTTTTGACATTCTTTTTGTGTGTTATGTTTGTATGAAAACTACAGGAATATTTTTCTATTAGAAGGCATCAGGTAACAATATTTATAGGATTAGTGAATGTGGTATGCTAGGAATACTGTAAAAGCAAACTATTAAAATATAGAAATGAGTGATTAACTTGAGTAGTTGACTGACTATAAGCATAAATTACATCAATTACTGCCATTTGAAATAACTGATGAATAAAAATTATGACTGAAACAATCATCAAAATAACAACTAAACAGCACAAGTATTTTCAATTATTCCAACTATCCAAGTAATTGAAATATTGTCCCTATGATTTCTCACTATCTTCATTTAATTTAAGATTGTTCAGTTCAATCAATCAGTTTATCATCTCAAAAAAGAATTAACTAATCAAAAGTAGTATTTCCTATAACTATTTTTGATTTTTCGAACTATCCAAGTATCATGTGATAAAAATAATTTAGTTGAATGTAATCGAGTAATGAGCCCAACAATTTTTTTTTTCAATAAACAGCATTTCACAGCAAATTTCCAAAAATTCATAACCTAAAATATTATACAAATATTAATAAGCCTAACAATTTATTGATTAGAAAGTCACATCAGATGACATAAAATCTTTTTTATTTTGTGTATTGGTAAAGTTATTACTACTAAAAAAACACATACAAGTAGAACTCCCGAGTTAGTGAAGACAAACAATAATTATAAGAAAAACTGAGCTTGACCAAAACTGTGTTTAGGATATAAGTGCAAGTTGTGTTTCACTGGTCAACGGTTTTATTGTTCATTGGTGCTTTATGTTACTTTAGTGGCTACATAACTGCTTCAATGAGTAAATCTAAATAACTGAGGAAAATCAAACCAGCTAGAACTCACTGGACATATAAAATGGAACTCTGATCAATAACATTCAGTTTTATCTATTACTTTTATATTTTCCAATAGCTGCTTTCCCTGTATGTCAAAGACTGTAGATACAGACAAGAAAATTACTATGCTATTATTCGAACAACATCGACACAAAAAATTGGATACACTAGTAATACTTTAGGTATACAGTAAAAAAAATGCTGAATCTCTTTTTTTTAGAAACAATAAATTTCCAAAATTCATAACCTAAAATATACAAATATTCACCCTTTCACTGTGGGTGAGTCGAAAATATTTCCAAGTGCTCCCACCCCCCTCACACTGCGACTAGGACAAATGTTTCCCATCGTAATTCAAAATTGCCACCCGTGACGCATGGGAGTAAAATGAGCTGGAAAGTATTTATTGGCATCCCACCTAGTGTTGATATATGGTTTCCCTCAATGTTTTTCACTCAGCCCTTCAGTAACCAACAAGATGCCTAAGTGGAATGTACGACATCTTCGTGCCAACCGTGCTCAAGTCGCCAGAGTGGCGAGTAGTAACCCTAATTACTATGCAAATATGCTTGGTGTGCTTAACTCACATAACTTAAAAGATAGTGAAAGTCAAGTGGTACTCAAATGAGACAAGAGGATGCTAGCTCTCCATCTAGTGATGATAGTTAAGATGATGAACTTGGATCCAGCAGAGGAAGGCATAAACAGCACTGACAATGGGAAAAGTTTGTCCCAGTTGCAGTGTGAGAAGGTGAGAACACTGAAAAATATACATCCCAGCCTCAGTGAATGTGTTAAATCAAATTATATATTATGTATAAAGTGTATACCAAATTTCCTGAAATTGGATAACACAGTTTGATTGTGAAAACAAAAACAGAGAGAAGTAACAGTGATATCCTGCTCATTTGGAAAAGGTGTACGACTTCAAAATATTTAACTTTTTTCACATCACTATGTATGGTAGTACTTAATAGTATGGACTGTGATGAAACAAAATGATGGCCATAAAAATCGGCCACTTAAAATCACCTTTAAAATGACTAAATATTAACAATGACTATTTCAGAATAGTGACTAAACAAAACTAAAGCCTCTTCATTGTACTTATAGAGCCATTTAAATTACTATATGCATGTTTATGAAGTGAATCAAAATTTCACTATTTGAACAAATTTTCCTCTAAGTAAGAGGCCTTTCCAGATAAGTTTACACAAAAAATGATGAAGTTTATCACTCTAATTCTTTCACAAAACTCTTCCGTCTGGGGTCCCAATGATTGCTTTCTTGTGCCGAAAAGGATACTAGACATATGTACAAAATGGACAATGCATTACTTTGTGCACATATTTAGATTTAAGGGTACACTGGTAGAGATTCTGAGGAGAAATAACATTGAATCAGGTATAAACACACACCATGGTTGGTATTCCTGGTGCACAAAAATATAGCTAATAAAAAGGAAACAAACATGTATAAAAAAAACTTTAAATTTTATAAAGACAAGTAGGGATTGATATATAATGTTTTAATGCTACAAAAAAGTATTGAAACAAGAAAGTCAAAACTACAAAAACTGAGATACTTAAAATTTAAAACATTTTATTCCTACTTTAGCAAATCACTATATTTATGTTAGTCTGAGTCAAAGTAGAGATAATTATATAACAATTCCTAATTGTCATTATAAAATCAAAACTTTTAAAATTATATTTGTGTGTATATATATATACATATTATTAAGTAAAGTACTACTTAATAGTAGGGATCGTGATGAAACAAAATGGCTGCCATAAAAACACCCGTTTAATACCACCTTTAAAATGTCTGAAAATTAACAATGACTATTTCACAGTACTGGCTGAGCAAAACCAAAGCTTATTGTACTTATAAAGTAGAGATTGATATGTATATATAACCTAACTAGCTATAGTAATATTAAAATTTACAAAAATTGTCTTTACTTTGGTAAATCACTGTAATTATGTTAGTCTGAGCCAAAGTAGAGATCCCTTTTTTAAATTTTAAGCAACTCAGTTTTTAGTTTTGATTTTCTTGTTTCAATATTTTTGTTCCATTAAAACTTTCTATATTACTATAGCTAGTTAGGTTATATATACATATCAATCCCTACTTTAAAATTTTTTTTTTATCATACTTGTATATATACAACTAGAAGACACAAAATGCTCAAACCAAACAAACAAAGTTACATTAAAAAATAGCACATAAATGGTGCCAGTGAGAGCAACAGAAGTCATGCACTCAGCAACGGACATTGGCTGTCCATCAGGGGATGAAGAATAGGGAACCATGACAAAAACAACAAGCTGGTAAATGATGCATGTGTAAAATGTTCATCAGATTTTGGTGGTCTCACATTGTGATAGGTCACCAAGATATCAGGGGAAAAAATACTGCTTTGAAATGCTCTCCTAATTTTATGACATCAATCTTTCCAGAGAATGAACTGTCAGTCCACGAAGAGTTCACTCTCAATGGTTTTAACGTCCTATCACAGGCTGACCCAGAGGATGGGATTACAATTCATCATGACAGCACCATCCATTATGAATTTTATGATGGCTCAAAGTGGAACAAAAACCATTGCAAGATATAAATCATCCAGATATCTCGATCAAACTCAGCCACACAAATCCGAGTGACAAATATGTACATGAATGGTAACATGGGCTACACAGGACATCATGCTGAAGATTAGAGGTTTCTGCCAGACCTGTCTGACATTCTTTGTTTCTCACAGTTGGAGACTTCAATACCAGACATTCCACTTAAGATGCAGAAAAAAAAAACACTTATGGCAAAGGTTTACATTCTGTTTTCCACAGTATAGTCACCAACATAATGCTTCTTAACATGGGTGAACCTACAAAAACAAAAGCATCAAATGTTAATGTGACACAGACTCCTGTATAAATCTTGTTTTTGTTAATTCCACTTTGAGTGTCATCTCAACCTGGCATAGAGGACATAATGAACAACAAATAGACAGTGCCACTAACATAATATTTGTAAATGACTCCCAGACATTACTGTGAAACAAATTAACATTTTTGAGGAAATTTTACAATTGCTTCAGGATTTTCTTAATTGAAAAGAGTTTCAGAATAAAGTTATAGCAAATTCTCAAGTTTAAGTAGACATATACATGTAGAAAAGAAGTGCCAAGGAGACACCTGTATTGCAAAATACCAGGAACTAGGAAGTTCGAGTTAGCAATGTCAGTGGTATAGTTGCATAAAGGCATTCCCTAGCAAACAAGTGCACGAGCACCTAAGACAAATCGGATTACTGACTTTCCTAACTCGCTAGCACTTGTAGTTAAACAAAAGTGGTACCTTGAGGCAATATCGCCTACAGGACACAGGTGTAGCAGTTTTGGTTATGGGTTTGGATCAGCCCTGGAATTCCCCTAAAGCAACCAACAGAGTGGCAAGACTACTTGCGGGTTGTGCTGGATACTATTTGGAGGGTCAAAAGAATACTAAGAAATTACAGTTTATAAACCCATGTCTGGAGCTGAAAAACCAGTTTCTCCAGGGTTCAGAAAGTTCCTCTAGAAGTTCTGAACTTCCTGAGTTATGGAGGTTTCTAACATCAGTATGTTTACCAGTCCAACTCTGCTGTAAGTATAGTTTATGGGTCCTCTCTTGATTAGTGTAAGTAACTTTAAAGGAATATTATGTTAAACTAAGAAGAAGTGTATCTACGTGTAATGCTGGAGAGCCATGTTAACGGCACTCCTTAATCAGTTAGTGTAAGTAACTTTAAAGGAATATTATGTTAAACTAAGAAGAAGTGTATCTATGTGTAATGCTGGAGAGCCATGTTAACGGCACTCCTTAATCAGTTAGTGTAAGTAACTATAAAGGAATATTATGTTAAACTAAGAAGAAATGTATCTGTGTGTAATGCTGGAGAGCCTATGTTAACATTGCTCAAAGTGTATAATGATTAACAGTGTTTGTAAAAGTGTTTAATGGTTAACGAACTTTTGATCTATATTGGATGTTAGTTAGAAATGATTAATAAATGTTGTTATAATTGTTCAATGTTGGTCTGGGACTCTGTTTCTTTATTCTAACCTCGAGTTAGCGACTTGTGGCTCCACTCGTCATGACAAATCCTCTAAATAAATAAATTTGGTGTAATGGGTAGTTTTAATTGAAACTCCAACAATTAAGCCCACGAGGGTGCTACTCGTAACAACTGCAAAAAAATTCAGAGTTGTTTGTCCCCTGATGGAAGGTAGTGAGCAAAGCAACTGCACAGTAACACCATCTCTTGGATGTACATGCCAGACTGTGCAGGGCTAAAGTTAAATGTGGAAGTTGACAAACTTGCACAAGAAGCCTGTACATGAAATCCCACACAAATCTACTGGCAGGATATCGACCTCCTCTGCACTTGTAAGATAAAAGTGACAACCATGGAAGGTCTTCATTAACAGAGAGGGTTAGAGACTTCTGGAAAACGAAGTACCATGTGGTGTAGGCAGGAAAAGCCAACAATGGGATATAAATAAGGCAATGCTCAGCCAGAAAGACAATAATGGTACTCTCTTCTACCTCCTGTAAGACAGACAGTCTCCACTAGGAGTCAGCATCTAGTGGTGCAACCCCTGGGATTGTTATGTACTACTCAGCTCATCAATCTAAGCTAAGGACACTTTTATATTCAACAATCATAACATTTTATACAAGCTTCAGTTACTTTCACACATCAGTGCTTTTCATGTGTAAATTAGAGGTTCTGTCCTTAAAAGTAAAGTTAAACATGTTACTAATTTTAGAACAAAATCTCCATAATATCTATATCTATTTAGCCAAATATACAATACATTTATACCAACAAAGTTATTTTTTTATAGCTAATAAAAAACACCTACCTCTTGCTTAGGATGAGAGTGTATACGAGCAAGCAATGAGAGGAGGTTTGACACAGACATTAGCATTGGAAAAGGGCTGTTAACCTTCAAGACAGGTGACAGATCTCCTGACCACATGACACTACCAAGTGATACAAGTGTTTCACTGTTTCTTTGCATTCCATTCTGCCCAGGATACAGCAGAGTGGAAAAAGTGCTGAAAAAAAATTTAAACAAATTACTACTCATTTGTGGTAAATATAGGAACAGTTGATTATGGAGTAAATATGTTAATATTCTATAATTCAGAGGAATATTTATTATATTTCAATTGATTAATAAGCACTTTTCCCATTATAATTTTAATATATGTGAACTTAAGGAAAAAGGTAACTGAGTTGAGAGCACAAATGAACTGACAATGATGTATCTTATAGTTTTTAACAAAACGTTTTTTACCAACATCCAAAATCATGATTAGAAACACCGTTGTCAATACGGCAATGTGTTAAAGGTAATAAGGTGATTATAAGAAGCACAATATTCCCTAACACATTTTAGTTGTTCTTTTGGTTTAAAATAATCCATCTGCAGTATTTCAATGTTGACTGTGATATAATACTGTATTTTCATTTACTTTTAATAGCCACAAGTTCAGTTACTTTTCTTGGGCCACAAAGTGCAACCACCGAAGAAGGAATAAGCAAATATAACTAAGTAGAAAAGGGTAGAGATGGGAGAATGGTCATTATATATAAAACTACAGTAGATTCTTTACATTAATACCTTCTTTATAAACAACAAATTATAAGTAGTTAAAGGATCCCATTCAAAATTTCAAGATTATTTCTAGCATTATACAGCTGTAGATCCAAATCTTGATGAAATCATTTTTATTGCATAGCTGTCTTCTAGAAAAAACACCATTTCATTTTTTATTAACTGTATTCCATATTAACATAACATTTTACAGATCTCTCTTACTCACTGTATAAATCCATTGAATGATATCAAAACATGAAGAAAACCAAGAGCAAAGCTCATTATATCACATTATTAATGAAATAATTTAAATCAAAAGATATATACACTTTATTAAAACTACCAAGAAATCAATTACTATAATTTAAATTTCTGAATGAAACATTTTTCTTATACTCACCACAGTGTCTGTAAAAATTCACAAAAGTTTTTGGAGTGCAAAAATGGCAAGATATGATTATGGAGTAACCTTTCAATTATCTCCAAATTATCCACAGCATTTTCAGCAAGCTGGCAAAAAAAAAAGATGAAATAAACTTTATTGAATTAGGTTAAAACTTTAAAAGACTAACATTTAAATAACTATGAACCATTGCTTTAGTAACAAATTATACTCCAGATTTGGAACACTCATGGAAATACAATTTTTACAAACATACATCTTTTCTTAATACTTTGAGTGCATAATTACATTTTGGGTGGATTCTTGAAAACTGTCAATTATCCACTAACAAATGAAATTTAGAATTTGACTCGATATATTTTCTTTGTGGCTTTATAAATGTTGATATTATTTGGTGTATGACTTTTTCACAAGACAAATTATACAAATGTCAATTACCTGCTTACTTGACATCCATAAGTAAGAACCAACAAAATTCATACAACTGGAAAGCACTGTCAGTCCTTGCTAGAACAGATAGACAAAAAACAACAACAAAGAAATACATTAAACATAATTTCAATATTTAAAGGATTGTAAGTTTCATATGAATAAAGAACGTAGCAATGGGTCATAAAGAAATTACTGAAATAATATTGGATCACAATACACATACATACATACAGTAATAAATGTACTAACAAAAGGGCCTTTAAGTAGCAGAAACATTCTCAAGCATTTCCGGGAAAAAATACAGTACAAATATTATCCAATTGTGAACTAGTTCTTGCCAAGATCATACTTCCTTGACAGATTCAAATAACCAAAGCACATTCATGTTTTAAACCACTAATCAAGCATTAGTAATAAATCCTTATGGAAAAAATCCTATTAATCATTACAGCAGAAGAGCAAATAGATCAAATCTTATCAACAAGAAACATTTCTGATGCAAGAAAAACCTAAGCAACCTCATATAATTATAAGGAGTTCAAAAGATAATGCTGTTTCAAATTATCAAGTGTTGTACTTTCATATTCCAAATGATCAACCTAAATACTGAGAGCACCTCTTTAGAAAGGTTCAGTTTCTAAATGTGCCCTATATAAACAAGTTTGAGTGTACTTTAAAGTCTAATACATAATATCTGTGTTTCATCTTGTAGATGCTTAGCTTAATATAAAATGTTCATTATTTATGTATTTTAGGAACATTTTTATTGTCTTGATTATGCTTTATCAAAGTTTTTTATGTCTTAAATGAACACATCATGTATAATAATAATCATGATCTAAGACAAAATAAAAGTGATCAAATATAAATGTACATTTAACAACAATAAACTTGTTATTGATTTTTACTCATTCATTTAAATTCAACATAAGCTATATTAGAAACAACTTTAAATCTTACATGTGTAATATCTCTATGAGCAAATTCCCACAGCCATCTGCAAAGTGAAGTCTCTATCAGTGGAAAAAGTCCAGTAACATGGGTCCAGTTTACAGATGGAAAATTGGGTTGATCCAACTTTTCATTTCTGTTGAGGATGTTAACCCACACACACAAAATAAAATTTAAAAAATTACAATGAAGTCTATGATTTCTAATGATATTTTATTTATCCTGGATTACATTTTGTTTCATTAAAGAATATTCACATTCAGTATTGGCTAAAAAATCATTTAAGGTATTAACCCATTTTAAGTTTAATTTCTTATCAAAAAATTAAATTCAGTGTCAGTAACTGAAAAAAAAAATCTAGTACACTGTGCTAAAATATATATGTGAACATTTAGTCTGCATTACATCAACTAGAAAATGGCTGAGAATATCCATTTACAAGAAAGTTATTTAAAGACAATTTTCTAAAATCGAAGTAATTTTGATATACCTTCTGGAAGATTTTATTTCTGTATGGTTGCCAGCAATGTGAACAACTCCTTCTAGAACTTGCACAAGACAAGCTGCATACTGATAGTCAAATCTGTGCTTCTCTACTTCTTCTACCAAAGACAGCGTTTGACAGAACTGGACATGTCGAATCATCACAGGAAAGAGATCTCTGAATACAAAAAATGTTAAAAAGCAAAACTGTCTACTGTTTGTTGGATGTTTTTTCATGATTGAAAAAATGTGTGTGTGTGTGTGTGTTACATAAATATTTTGCTATTGTATTGCTATATGTTTCTTCTACCTGACCTGCTCCAAAACAAAAGCTTTTTCTTGTCCCTTTCAGCAACTTTTTCTCATACATGCATGCTTTACACAATATGATTTCTCTATACAATCATAACCTGGCTAATGAGGTCACATTATTTTGATATGTGATTAAGAGTCAACAGCATTTCATCTTATAAAGCCCCAGTATAAAGTAAAAAGGACAATAAAGGCATATATAATCTCAAGAAAAAAATTGTTACGGTTAGAAATAAATGCCAATTAAAAAGTTTTTCATGATATATCATAGACTGGTTACTCATAATTAGAATAATTAGTTTGCCTCTAAGCATAAGCCTACAAAATAATTAGGTGGAATACCAAATGATTAAAAATGATGTCTAGGATATCTGTAGTGACAAACTGTAAAATTTCTACATGTATTACCACTGCAACCAGTCTTTTCCAAACAGAATAAACACACACAATGACAATGATGCTGGGATTCTGACTTGAATTATGAAAGATCAATCATCTTCAGCACTCTCTTATTAAATTGACCAAACATCTTGAAAAATATTGCAGATGGACTTGGATCTATTTATTTCTTTTGCTGATCTATGTTTTTTTCATTTTATATTCACTTGGTCAAGATAGTTACAAAGAGACTGTGGGTGCTACTCCAAAGCAACTGATATTACAGTCCTGATAAAGGTTGTTTTTTTTTCCCCATATATTTTCCTTGTAACTAAGAGATCTAAAGACTGGTGAAAGTTCAGAACCTCTCACCCAAGAACCACACCAGCACTTCACTACAGATGTATAGCACGTCCAAAATAATCACTGATAGTCACGGTAAGGGTATGTAACACTGAAAACTAAATCATAGTCACCCAAGAACCACACCAGCACTCATTCCAGAAGTATGGAAAATCCAAAACTACATCATTTAACATAAACATCTACCTGAGCCAATGTCCACTCATTCTAGTTCTTTTGAAGCCAGAAAAATAAATTTCCTTTTACGCTCCTATCTTTAACATAATCAGAAGGTTAAAAAACACACTAACAGCTGAATATCTAAACTCAAATCATCCACTACACACAAAAACTGGAATAAGTCACACACTGAAGTAGTGTTAAATAACATTCAAAGCTGTCTACAATCAATAAGATGCTCACACAAAAATCAGCAAGGAAACAAACACTGTTTTGTTTTATTTAAAAAATTTCTAAATAAACAATCTATCATAAATTACTTTTATTTTTAAGTAAAAATCAAATGCTTACACAGTTTTTATTTTTTCTTAAATATGTTTGGAACAAATGATTTTATTGGAGTATAAACAATAAAGAAATTCCATAGACCAATAATCATATCAAGAGTAAAATACAAAAAAACCAATGTTTTTTTGCACAATGAAAGTTTAAATGTTTGTTATTTGTTCTAGCCAACTAGTTTCGATAACACAGTATGACATAAGACGTGGTAACAATATGTCCTCTACTGTAGCTGAACATTTCTAGAACTGTGATGATAATTATGACTAGAAAAACATAAAAATCTACAAATTGCATAAACAAACATAGAAAGGAACTTAAGAGAGAGTATTTGTATAATTATAAACATATGTGGGTGTATAATTAGAGACGATGGACCAATCAACATGTCCTATTGGAATATTTATTTAAGTAATTCCTTATTTAAGATTTAATTTCCACCCCTTGTTTCCTGACCTTGTTTTTAAAAATGAGCTCACCAAGCAACAGTCATAGCTGAATAAATGCTAACACTGTAGAGACTAGCCCTGATGATGATCAAAACTAGTCGGCCCCAACTAATAATAGAGATTTTACCTTTCATTATGGCAAAAAAAAATGTTGGTTTTTGTGTTTTACACTTTTAGTATATCAGCACAATGTGTCTGAAAAAAAATTATTAGCAATAATAGTCTTTAAACTTATGGTAAGAAAGTAGCTCATAAGCTTACAATGTATGCTGCCACCATGAGTATGCAGATGGTCTTCAATAAGTCATTATGTGTCAAAGCCAGTTTTCAAATACTTAAAAATATCTACCCTAAAAAGAAAACAGTTGTTTCTTTTAAAGCAAAGCCACATCAGGCTATCTGCTGCATCTATCCCAGAGAATAACACCCCAGATTTTAGTGAAAACAGCGTACGGCAAGTAAGTCTGGGTGGAACAATTAACTTATAAATAGAAGTAAACAATTTTTTAATGTAAACTCAATTAATTTCTCCATTAAAGGTAACACTAAACGACAGAAATGAAACTTTATCTGCATAGTGTAATGCCATGAATTAAACTGACTCTCAGGTGCTCAAGTGGCATCAATGATTAGAGTCCAAAATAGCTATGATTGGTTAGGTTAGGATACATGAAGAAAGTGTGTGCAGCAAATGCCCAATACTGCTTATAAGGTTACCTGCTTTGGTACAGCACAGTTAATTATGATGGGAAGAGAAGGAAATGTCACCAAATTATACTCACAAGTTCTCAGAAATATTAATTCATCTTTTGGAATGATTATGTCTTATGTATTTTTCACTGTTTATCAAAATTTTCTATTTTCTTAACAACAGGATGATAATGTATCTATTATCATTATTGAAATAAAACATTCACATAAAAATAACAGAAGCATATGACACTTACAAGTAAACTTCAGAAGCTAATCCATATGCCAGGAATACTCGCCAAATTCTCAAACTTTCTAGAGAAAGTTTCAGAATTTCTTGTAATGGAAGCTTATCATCACTGTGAAAACAAATAAAAAGTTCGACATGATTAGTGTTAATAACACTGGTAAGGTAATCAACGTATGCTCATAGTAGTCAATACTGGATTTCATGTTTACCTTTGACCTGCAATAATTAGTTACCAGAATATACAGTGGTGGCAATAAGAATGTTTACAAAGATATGCCAGAGATCCATGAGTGTAATGCAGATAGCTCACATGACTATACAGGGGCCTGCAATCTACTTGAATTATGATGCAGGTTTAGATATGGCAGACATAGTGTAGTTGTAAACTATTATGCATTCATCTTCTTGGAAACCCATAATGGATTGAATAGACATAGTAGTGTTAAAAAATAAAAAAATACAATAAGCCTAATACTGCAGGCAAAGGAGTTCACACCATAATAACTGTTTTTGTAACAAATGACTTATGTAAATAGCATTCTGACCACTGTGTGCCATATCCCAACCAGCCTGATGAACTCTGGTATTGAGCAAAATATAACGGACACATTAAATTTTTCTATTTTCTAAGCTACAGGATAATAACTTGTTTATTATCATCATTGAAATAAAACATTCACATTAAAAACAATAGAAGCATAAGCCTAATACTAATGTTATGTGATAAATATAATTAAGTATTATTATAAGGAAATCTTGCAGTCACGTACAGTAATGGCAACATTACTGTAATGCAAGGCTCTTGTGAGTCTTGTCTAATGTTTTTGTTTAGAAGGTAAGTGAGTACAATGTTATATTTGTTTCCTCTACATGGCAGTATCAGCAAACCAAAATAACAAAATAGTACATAGGCAAAATATGTGCATATAAAGTAACCATCTAAATATTATTATTAACACTGTTTTGCAGGACTAGAAAATGTTCAAGATAGTGCAAACAGAATTTCATCCATGCAACAACGATTTTGTCTGTGTAGTTTTACTAAGCAAACTGTTGACTGGTAAAGTCAGTCTTTAAGTTGTCTAAACAAAAATTAAAATAATTTATAATTGTTTTTAGCTATTACAGATTAATATGTTCACATACCTAATTTTCTTTTTTCATGATACATAATAATTCAAAACATTAACTCTATCTACATGGGCTCAGTCACTTTGACCGATCTAACAACTATAAAAGTATAAATTCTACAATGTTTACTGTAGTAAGTGTATCTTCACAAAATTTGACAAGCTTTTAGTAAACATTTAAAGTCTTTAGTACACAAAAAATCATGTTTTTTTAATTAAGTATTTTTACTAAAGATTTGTTTGTGAACATATGGAGTCAAATTTGGACTCAGACTACAAAATAATTTTCATGTTAAAGTTAAAAATACTTGTTTTTCATCTTAGAGTTTTCAAATATCATTTGCATAACCTCTAAAAACTCCTACATGAATATTCAAAGTTTTTTCCAATAAATGTTTGTAACTGATTTGTTATTTTCTCTACCCTAACACTATATGGACTTGGTCACTTTGGCCAACCTAGTAACCATCACAAAACAAATGAAGTAAGTCTAAATTATTCTTTCTTCTTGTAGAAAGATTGCAGATTGTAACAGACAATTACAATATTTATAATAAAAAATTTAAGGGTAGTAACAGGTTATAACTGTTTTTGTTTAATTTTATTGTTCCTGTGATAATAATAATCCTGTGATAGAAGATGTAATTCACATGGTGAATGCATACCTGAAGTTGCATTATTAAATGACGTAATATATGAGCTAGTTGCACGCATACGCATGGAGATAAAATTTTTACTATTATATATTTTTCATCATCTAACCTAATCTCAAGTAATAATTTCCTAATTTTTACATTTTAGTTACTTAAATAATAAAGTACATACAAGGAATTGAGTACTTACATTTAGCCTCTTTTTTTTCCAGCCCACCAATAAAACTTAAGTCTACTTCCTTGTAAAGATAGTACAACTAGATCAAGTAGTTTTTATTTTCTTCAGACATTCACTTAAGAACACAAAATAATAACATGCACAAAGCGCTGTCCTATAGGTATTCTAATTTAACTAGCTTTCTAACTAGAGCATAAGTGCCTTAAAAACATTTCCTTAGCTGTTTGATCTGAATTTGGCAACAACTGAGAACAAGGTAGCATTATACGTCATTTGGTAAATTAAAATTCTGTCTTTCTATTGGTTATACGTAATGTAATAGCAAATGTCAGAGAGAATTAATAACGATTTGTGAAAGAGAGAATGAGATAGGAGAGAATAGAAAATGTGTCTGACTTTCTGGTTTATATCTTTGTACAGAAAGAAGAGTGAAGGCTATAAGAATTAGACTATGCCTTTGTAGTATCTATACTATAATGATTAATTTATGTTAAACTAGGAAAGTCACAGACGGGTGATTAAAAATAGAAAATGGGCAAATCAGAGTGAGCAAATGTTATAGACAAGAAAATTGAGAGTTTATTTAAATACTTCCCTTTGAAATTAAGAACAAGTTATAACAAGAGAAATAAAATATAATCTTATAACAATATTTTATGTTTTGTTTGAGCTACCAAATGTAAGTAGAGGCCAGTAAATTCATATACTTAATGGCCCTGGCAGACTACTAAAGAATTTTATTACACTGTGATTGTGTTTCAAAATAACATGAAAAATTAGAGTTTGTGGTTTCATTGTTCTAACTCGGTGTGCAAATGGCTAATATTACACTTTATCAATATTCAATACAGAAACTAAAAGCAACAATATTACAAAAATATACACAAACTCCCAATATGAGTCACCACAATGCAACTTTGCAGGGCTGTAGGTCTCAAAGCAATTCTGTCTGTATTCATTCCTGTGCGTAGAACAGGTTCCATAGCTGGTATACATAGAAAAAGAAACTAGTAGTATTATCTAGTGGTCGATCTGTGATGTTCCCAATTATTGTGACACTACTACTCTTGCAGTGAAAGCCCATGTAACAATGCAAGTATCTCACAGATATCTCGCAGCTATAACGAAGTGTATTTATGGCACCACATGAGAATGGCACTATATACTCAGGTTAAATGTAAACTCTCAGCATTAAGGTGCATTTTTACAAAAACAATATTCCAAAGCGTGAAATACTTGAAATCTTGTTGAAACAATTTATGCTTAAAAGAAGAAGAGGCCAAAATATTATGCAGATGTTGAACTCCATGGTTTCAATGAGTAAAGGTATTATATGATTAGAATATATGCACATCTATCTTGCAGTGATTTAATTTCATTACATAATGATTAAATTAACAAAAAGGAAAGAAGAATTTTAAAATACTCTATATATTTGTTATAATAAACTACAATATAAATTCACAGGCTTAATATTTCTAAATGAAAGATATTTATGAAAAAACATTAAAACTATGAACAGTTTAAGATAACTATTATTTGATTTAGAAGTATATTTGCAATTATTTTGTTAGTATCAGGATAGAGAACAAATTAATTAAATATATGGAATTTTTCACCCATCTTTGTAAACAGCATCACAACTTCTAAACAACGCAACTACAAATATATGCTTTTAATAAAGTGATAGAGTTCTTTAACAAAACAGAAGTGGTGTACTACAGACATTTCAACTGTGTTTAAATTTTTCTATCTTTATATCTTCATACAGAAATAAATCTTATTCAGACACACCGACCTTAAATTTTGGTATTTAGCAATAACTTGGTGGAGTTTTTACCTTGGATCAATGGTTATATAACAAGCAACAAGTTCCATTATATGAAAATCTTTGACCTGGAATAACAAGAGAAGAAAATTTGTTTTAACACTGTGTTATCATGAGCTTTAAAGATCAAAATACCATGCATGCAAGTACATGTAATAAAAATTTACATCAAATGACCAGAAGAACAGTTCATAATCAATTATGAGTCACTTATTAAATGAAACAAATATCTTGGTAATTAGTGTATTCCACCTATTACCAAGCATATTTTATCACATTTAAGGTATTGACAACTTCTAAGATGCATAGCAGTCAATATTTGTATGAAATTGAGCAGAATTATTAAATTCAATTACATAAACAGATAAGATCTTACAAAAGTCTTTAGACATGCAACAGGTTCATTCGATAGGAATCGGAATTTGATAATAATCAGTAGAACGACGGTAATAGCAAACATTCGACACTTTGTTTTCGGTAATGTACGTTTATTCGTCGGATGTTTCGAAATATTCATATTCCATTTTCAGCGACTGTATTAATTAATCAGTAGTATTAAATACACATATTCATTCAGTTGGAACATTTATAATAGGATAAGGCAAAAGAAAAACAAAAACAACAACCAGCAGGATTTAAACAGGAAATAACAAAATTTTAACTATTATATTACGAAACTAGTGTGGTAAAGAAGGGGAGGTATAGAGATAACACTGTATAGTTGATAATGTGCTAGGGATATTTATAATAGGCTTAGCTGTAAAGAAGTTGTGTTATTGTTTAGAGTGGGGCATTCATTTAAAATGGACAAGCTTTCTTTGAAGTTCTGTGTTGAATGAACCGGTCGAAATTACTTTAAAATTGTTAGTCAGAATAGGGTGGTTGTTATTTTCACTATGTAAGCAGATTGCTGATTCAGATTGATTTGATAGTTTATTACTACTCCTACTCGATATTCCCATATGTTCACAAACTGGTAGGTGTAACTGCCGTGTGGTTTTACCAAGGTAAGTGGCATTACAGCCACCACACGTATATTTGTAGATGAGTTTTGAACTCATGGGGGTAAGTAAGCGGTCCTTTGTTTTAAATAAGTTTTGTATTTTAAAGGGTGTTGTAAATATCATTTGTAGTTGGATTTGTGGGTAAATTTTTAGACACGTGTTAAATATTTAGAAACATAAAGCATAAAAACTCAGAATTATAAATTGTAAACTTTACATATCTTTTTCACAGCTAATTTAGTGTGGTATTTGGTAAGTGTAGTAAATTTACTAATACAAAAACTTCAGTCCATTAAATAAGAAAATTACCAGTCTGGTAGCAAGATGACGTCCATTTGATGCAATAACTCTCAACAGTTTAAGACCTGGCCACAACGGATAGCCATACACATCTCTGCTCTTCCCTTTCACTGAATCTAAAACACATTAGATTAATAGTAATGTTGTAGTGATTGAATATTAATCATTATCATGGTTATAGTATACATGGTCAGCTAAGTCTAATTATTAATTAGTAACTAATTTATACATACATCATTTATATATAACTAGATACCAGTTATTATTATCTAGCTTTATCCTACATTTTACTTGCTAACCTGCTGCTGTCTTCAGGGAATTATATTAAGTCCTGAGAAGGACTACTGTGTTTGTAGTAGCTGGGATTCGATTGTGAGTCTTCTTGACTGAAGTCTTGTACATTATCCATTTGATTAGAGACTCCCTCACTAGAATTTGAATACAACTATCTTAACATTTTCAAGAGAGATATCACGGTTTCACTGACTTCTATGCTAAGCTGACTGAGTGTGATACCAGTTAGGTAGAAGTAGAAAACTTTTTTATCTTTCTTTTTCTCAAATGTGGGTCATACCCTATTATTTTAGTAATACCACAATTTATTATAGGGTCTTCTTCTCTAGTATGACGAGTTATTCGAAACAGATCATTAATGTCGAGTCTTGTATGTCTAACAAGTTCCTTAATTCTAATTTTTGTAACTGTACTTTTTGTTTCTCAAATGTAATTTTTTCTCTTCTTTGGGTTTTTAGGTAGTTTAGTATGTATTAACTGTGACTGTAACATGTTGTGGCTTCTGAATATTGTTACAACTTTATGTTGTTTACTTATCCTCTTCATCTTTTCAGAGAGATCTCTAACATAGTGGAATATGGTTATATGTCTGTAATTTTCATCCTATTTATACTTAGTGTTTATCTTCGTTTTCTTTTTTTATCAAGTGTTCCAGGTAACTGTTGTTAGGCATCATTATAATAATGAGTTTTCTTCTTTCTTAGATATTTCAAATCTTGTTGTTCCTGGAAACCAGGTAGTCTATGATGCTTGTCTTTATATTATTCAAGGGGTTTCATTTTTACATTGGGTATTTACCCGTATCTGTCTTTGTTTCCAGAAATAACAATATCTGTAATACCAACGAAACTAAGAAGGGATGCTATCAACACAAAAATAGTCATTCTCAGGACTTCTCTGAAGGTAGCAGCAGATTAGCAACTGAATCTTAAGATAAAACTAATTAGTAATCAGGATCTAGTTGTATACACATATAAGTTAGTTACTATTAATAGTTGTATGTAGGTGACTTTATAGAATAATAAACATAAAATTGATATTAATTATAACATACAAAATTCTTTTTGCATTCAAACTCTGAATGTGTGAAGCAACACCAGTAACTTTCAAAGAACTAAAAAAATAACTTGGTGTAAACATTTTTTTACAACTGATCCAAATGTGTGCTAAAAACCAAAACACAGGAGTGTTACTAAAGTATTTTTAGGTGGGCATAAGCCCTCTCCTTCAAATTGTTTCATGCTTTCCTTACTTACTTACTTATTCTTTTTTTTATTTATTGCAATGTTCTGAGTAGTAAACTGATTATTAGAATTCTGTATAAATGTTTTCAATATGCAACAACTGTTTCATATTACAATCATTTTTTAAAACCATATAAGTCTGTTTCTTTTACCTTGCCAGCCAAGTCGAAATCCATTTCCAATTCATTTTTACAAAATTAAAGAAAACAGAATCAAAACCCCAAAAATTTTCCCACTTTCTTTGCATCAACAGCAAAACTACATGATTTATTTGCCTATCGTATATAGCAGGATTTGCCAATGTATGCCCAAAAATAATTTTCAAATATGTTTGTTTGTTTGGTTTGTTTTGAATTTTGCACAAAGCCACACGAAAGCTATCTGCACTAGCCATCCCTAAATTAGCAGTGTAAAACTAGAGGGAAAGTAGCTAGTCATCACCACACACCACCAACTATTGAGCAACTCTTTTACCAGTGAATAGTGGGATTGACCATCACATATAATGCCCCCATGGCTGAAAGGGCAAGCATGTTTAGTGGGACGGGGATTCAAACCTGCGACCTGCAGATTGCGAGTCAAGCACCCTAACCACCTGGCCATGCCGGCCAAGAAAGATTTATTCTCTAATACATTTTAAAGCGACACATAACTAATGCTTGCAATAATTACCGTGTTTCTTACACAGAATCAAGGAGTTTCCATGTTAACACATTACATATAAAAAATGCAGAAAAAGTTATATGACAATCAAGCATATATCACAACATAAAAAAATGGAATATGATTTCTTAACTCACTATATAGCATTTACCTAAATTTCACTCAATTTTAAATGAATTTTCAAGATGTACATACACCTTATTCCTCAGTATTGAGGCATTGTTACCATCACACATGATATAATTATCATGTGTGATATTATTATTATCTTCTATTGTATTCTTCAAAATTGTTCTACCATATAATGCATCATTTCTAAAACAGGCTATGACAGTGTGAGGTTGTTAATCCCACAATACAGCTGATGCAATGATTTGCTGGAAATAACAGTTCTCCTTCTGATAATTAGTCTTACTAGCAGAAATACCTGCCCTCAGTTCCTGTGGAAAGCTACTGGGTCTGCAGCCCAAAGACAGTCCTATGGCCTTTTCTGGAATTGTCTGACAGTTCTACAACAATGTACTCATACTTGACGTTCAATATAAGTGATGTTCACCAACCATGAGAAAAAGGATTTTATTGAAATTTTAGTTTAAAAACGAGCTATCAACAGCATTACATCAGAGTACATTTTATTGAAATATTTCTTTGTAGAAGCAGTTATCAATGAAAGTGCCTTGCTTTTCTGTTGCAACACTCGGGAGAGTTCCACTAAAGAAAAACAAATATTTTTTTAAGTTTATAAAAAGTTTATATTTGAAACTTACTCCTTTTTGTTCGTAATTTTTATTGGTTAAATTTGAAACATATCATTTTTGTGGAAATTTCAAACATTTTATTTATTTCTCAGGTATATAAATACTGCCTAGTTATAAAAATATTACCTAGTTATGATTGGTGATGATCGGTGAGGTAGTTTCCAAGATTCAAGTTTTGGATGTATATATCGCAAGCTCCATTATAATCAGATTCAATTACAACTTAAAAGTTTCTACTACCCTCTAATATATACATAACAATATTAAAAATACATCAAATATTATACAGGTTTAAATAATGAAAAAAATTGAAATGTGGAGAACTTATTTTCATGTTATAAGCTCTTCCTTTCATTTAATTGAAATATGAAGTTACAGGTTACTTAATGAAAGCAGCATGCTGCTAAATGTTATACTCATTAAAAACAATGCCCTACAAATGCAAAATAATTTATTAATATTTTATGTTCACAAACATTTTAATTGACAAAAATGGTTTTATAGTCCAAGTATGCACCGTACTTTCAATAATTAATGTAACCCTAATTTCCATAAATTTTTGCTTTTCATATCAACCATTTTTTCCACTGCGGTAGATGATGTCTGTCATATGTCACCTTTTTACAGAGTTACATTCAAAATTTAATTAAGCAACTTTATTATTAATGTATGTAAAAAAGCTTGTCATCAAAACATTGTATACAATTCATGTTTTTATATAATTTAATTTTTATTTTCTTAATTTCAATATAAAATATTTAAATAAATTATCATTCTTCAACTCCCTGCATCTCGTAACTCACTTGCACTCTTAATTTCCCATTTAGTTTTTCTTTATACCCTTTTATTAGTTTCAATGTGCCCAACTAATTACAAACTCATAATATAGATATTTATAAGCCAGAATATAACATCTCAACATCCAGTCTTTTTGTTTTACCGAGACATCACAAAGTTTTCAACACCCACATAACATGTCCTCTCTGTCTTTCAAAACATGTCTGTAATTCTCTCTGACATTGTCATTGGACATGTTTGTAACTAACTGAAAGAACAGTTTCTGAATCATGTAAACCTGATTATTGTCCATTTTGCTAAAACTCACTTAATAGAATGAGTAATCATCACAAGAAACCACACCAATGTCTTGCTACCAAATACCACCAGAAAACTTGGAAAGTAAGAATTCCATTCAGTCAATGATTTCACAATCACAAATGTACTGTAATCAAGCTGTGTATCATAAAATATCTTACACAAATTCTTATGTAAACCAACACTCCATAAATCTTGAAAAGAAGAAATGACTCTTCCTTTCAGTTATTGATTTATCATAACTATCCTACCAGTTGACAAATCAATTAATCCTGATCATAATAATTAGAAGACTAATGCTGTTATCTCAGCCAAATATCAAAGCTCTTAAACCAATATCTTCCTTCCTCATCAGCCGAGTTGAAATCATACAACACAAACTTTTGCTTCTACAGGCTCTCTAGCAGTACATTATAAGAAACTAGGAGAAAACTAGGAAGCAACAGCACAAAAAACTAGGAAGAAAACTAGGAA